AGGTTTCACGCGAAAATGCGGATGTGGCAGATGATCTAGCTATCATGTCGGGAGAAACACTGAAGAAATTTGTCAATGAGAGCTCAAAATGTTTCACATGTTCATCGTTGTGCCCTGGTAAAGATAGAGTATATATTTTTGGGAAAACTTCTCACAATTTCGTTGAAATTATAGAATCTACGCTTAACATAGACGTCAACTGCTACGCCAACGACACGAATGCTAGATTGTTTGAGTGGTTGTGAAAGTTTCAGCGAGCAACTGAGAAAGTAGAAGAAGCTAAAAACTGAACTGAAACTCTTTATTCGCACTACTTCAAGAGGTTACTACAGATTATAAAAGTCAGAATATATAAGAAACAGTAAATTACATCAATAATCAAAACGAAATACAAGACGCCTTTCAATCGAGGCCAAGGGCTAAACGCTTGCTTCGACCTACAGATGGAGATCAGGAGGAAAAAAGCGCGTGCTTGCCGTCAACAAACCGGGCGAAGGCTTCGAGAACACTGCAATTTAGGTCGGCCAACGTCTCCTACACTACTTGTACTTCTTCATTTGCCAGTCCGCTGCTAGCTGGAGCGAACCCGATTAGTTATGTTCGTGGCTTCTTATCACCGGTACAGGAAATCGGCCCGAATTATCGAGTGTTTCCGCACGTTGGTACAACGCAACAACAATAACAATAATATGACCACTTTCATCGGTAACATGGTCAAACACGAGCGGGAGTGCTTGATATATTAACGATTTCCCGGATCCTGTAGGCAACTTAACAAAAACATCTTCTTTCTCGACTAAAACTTTTTTAATTGCAAGCTTCTGGTGAGCTTTAAGCTCGAAAATTTTGAACTTTGACGACGCTTTGCGAAAAGCTCCTTCAAGCACCGCCATTTGTCTTGTGTTTTCCACATGAGGATCGCGATAGAAAACGATATCTGATTGGACGAGTCTCAAAAGGTGAGTCTGGCGCGAAAAGGTTCCTGAAAATGGAACCCGAGCTGTGATTGGCCAATTCGGAGAAAGGAATGTAGTTCGGTTGTCAGCAACCGTTCTTTTGGGGGAGCGTAGCGTAACATCCAAAAAAAACGGCTGCGAGGGAGACTATAGCCAAACTGACTGATGGAAATCGAAAAGCACTAGCCAAAACTGAATTTCTACTAGTCTGTGGCTAATGGGCTACCATCGGTACCATCGAGCCTTGCCACCTTCATTTACTTAGTTGAAATATTCTTCACTTTCTTTTATGTAATTAAGCTATTCACTAAACTTCAACATTATTCTAAGGAGTAGATCATGTCTGTGATAAGTACTGGTAATTTTGTAGAGCTAAATCGTGTGTTTTACCTGGAACTCCCCACTGTCTTGAGATTCCAGTTCTTGAATATTAATCAGATCTTGCAGCCTCTCTTGTTCTTCTGCAAGCTGAGATAAGCAAGGATAATTTTTGACTATTCATCAACAAGTGATAAAATATTTTTACACTATACATGTAGCAACAAAATCTTGCCTTTTCTTCTCTCCTTCTTGCATTGATCTCTTGTAACCTCCTTCCTTGCTTTTGTCTTCTAAGCTTTTCCTTTTCTTCATTTTTAGGTCCACTTGCCTGGGGAGTTGGAACCTGTTACCATAAAAAGAGTGAAACCCTAAAATTACCTGCTTTCAGAAACACCTTTTACTCACACCACCAAGTAACACCTCAGATTTTTTGTTAGTTATTTAGGATTTCTCATGTTTCTCAAACTGTAATCATGTATACAGTAAATCTCCTAATAAGCCCCCCTCTAATAAGCTACCCCCCTCTAACAAGCCCCCCTCTAATAAGCTACCCCCCTGTAATAAGCCCCCCTCTAATGAGCTCCCCCTCATATAAGCTACCCCCTCTAATAAGCTACCCCCCTCTAACAAGTGCCCCTCTAATAAGCTACCCCCCTCTAACAAGCTACCACCCTCTAACAAGCCCCCTTCCAATAAGCTACCCCTCTTAAGAGGAAGAAATTTATTAAGCCCTCCCACCCCTCCCCTTAAAAAATCAAAATAACACTCCATGTCAGTAAGTATGATAAAGTTATTCAAGTACTGTAACTTTAGTTTGTCATTTTAAATTGATTATTGTGCTTGATTGATTGATGTTATCATCAACAGAATACCATATACGGAAATTACAGAGCAATACTAAAAATATAACATGGCTAAACAAGGTCTATTGAGAGAATTATATCACAAAATTGAGTTCTTTATTGAGTTCTAAATTAACAAGCATCCCCCTCTATTAAGCCCCCCTCCCCCCAAAGTACCTGAAAAAAATATGCCCCCTGGGGGGCTTATTAGAAGATTTACAGTACTTGTACCTCTTACAAATTGAGTTCAAGGTCCATACTGTACATGTAAGTTAAAGACCAAGTTACAGTTACAGTAGTAAGGTACTCATTATACCTCTGGATTCAAGTAGAAGGGAAAGATTTCAATTGAAACAAAATTTTAAATGTAGCTGGCCATACAGTGATATACAGCCTGCTAGACTGACCAATTATAAAGCACATACAGCCTGCTAGACTAACCAATCATAAAGCACATACAGCCCACTAGACTGACCAATCATAAAGCACGTACAGCCCGCTAGACTGAACAATCATAAAGCACATACTGACTGAGAGATGTTAATAATAAAACCCACTACAGATGCAACATGTAACTGGCCTTATGTGTTAGACTGAAATCATTTTAAAAATCACCAGTGATTGAACTACAGTGTTCCGCTTAACATGAAACCAACCTGAGCATATGGAAGCTGAATTTTATAGACATTATCATCATAATAATCAGATGAAGCCCATTCTTCCAGTTCTTTAGAGTAATCAGATGCCATAAAACCATGACTATGAACTAATTCCTACAAAAGAATAGAAGATGAAGCTGCTATCTGTCTTTTGAAAGCAACAGCTATAAGCTGAACACTGTCAACAAAACTGCATGAACAGCTAAACTGGTATAGTAATCATGACTATGTAACACTGTCTTCAGTCTGCAATTCAGATCATAACTGTAAGTACCTGATAGTCACCAAAAACAACAACAGACAAATTATTCTCCATATCCTCACCTGCGCTCTTGAGAGTGTAATCTGAGCAGCATGGTGAGGATGTTTTAGCTGTAGAAGTCGCTGCATGTACCATGTGGCAAGTGCTCCACCCAGATTAATCCTGTATGGTTAGTGTACAACAAGGTTGAATGAAACATGCAAACACATACAGTACTAAGCGTTGAAGAGCTGGACTGCAAAACTCTAGCTACGCTCCAGGTTGTGAACCTTTGGGAGGTACTGTAAGATTTAAAATTTCCCACAAAAATCTTTGTCATGACTTCACAACTAAAGGGCATTTCTCGTGGACCACAGAGTCAGTTCAACCTATTAAAAGTTGAGGAACAAATTCCTGTATCATGCTGAGTGCAGCCCATCTGATGATACATTTATGTTGATCTCATTGCTCACGCATTAAGTACACCCAATGAATGCAAAGAACAAATTAAGGTAATACCTAGGCCATTTCCGAATTACGTTTGGCCTCTTTTTCAAAATGAGGCCTGGTGCTCAACCATGCGTATGAAAAGGAGTTTAATTTGCATGTGAATGAAAACTTATTACCATACGAAAGGATGAGCACCAGGAAAAAAAAAGAGGCTAAAGGAAATTCAGAAATGGGCTATTTGATTTTGTGCTTCAATGGAAATTAACTAACCTCTTACAGTTGCTAGCATCCAGTCTCCCATTTACAACAGGCAAAACATGACTGACTTGACATCCAGATGACACCACAAGTGCAGTGGTTTTATCTACAAGTAGGTGAATTTATAATGAAAAAGATTAGCATTTAATATAATTGATTGCCAACAAAATTGATTAACCTCAGTCTGATGAAGGTTATATCCCTGAAATATTCTCTATTTCTAAACTACAATTAAATACAAATTGGCCACCATAAAGAGTTAAAAGCTGACATTTTGAGTGTTGGCCCTTCATCATTCACTTTGATGAAGGACTAACGCTCAAAATTTCAGCTTTTTAACTCTTTATGGTGGCCAATTACATTATCAACTGAGTTGATAAAACCAAATTACCTTGTTACCCCCAACAACACAGCACCATGGTTTCTTTAGAAAATTACCCCCTTTATACAATTTATTACAACTCTCACCTGAGTTTGGGGAGTTGTAATAAAGGCTAAAGAGGCTGTCAATCCCATAAGCTACACTTGGAACATTGTAACACTCAAACAACAACTCAGACATGGCTGAAAGACAAAGATCAAAAACAAAATAATTATTATAAGTAACTAAGACTAATAAGATAATAATTATGGAACTGAAATGGACCATAAACACGGTCTCCTTCAGAGGCCTTGTTAGATAATCTTCACCGGCCTTCAACATTCTTCATACCCAGGGATCAATAGTGTTGCATGACAAGCCCAAATATTAATTGTATATGATATTTATGATCTTGCAATACTTACACTGCCGACAGTAGTTTGGGTTACAAACTGGTTCTGTCATAACAATAGGATGATTAACACTTCCTAGTGTGTTGACTCCAAGGTGACTAAAGATGTGATCAAACACTTGCTCCTGTTTGAAAATATCATTCGCAGTTTTATCATTATTTTGTCAGTAATTTTGCACCATGTAAATACTCAAACAATGTATAAATTGAAAACTTCCAATGAACATTTTTATTGTGCAGTTTTAACCAACTGTTATGACTACTCTGTATAAATTCAAAATCTTAGGCTACCCCTGACATTTTGCCACCCAATGTTCCACCAGATCAGCTACAATGACTATGTTTGTGAGCAACACATATGTACATGAGACATAGGTCTTCTGTACACTGCTTTGATCAGCAACAGTGAAAGCATCCTATGTTACGAAGGAGGCTTCATTCCTGATGAAAAACCAAGATTTCCTATGTCAAATACTGTAAAAGATTGTTAAATGAAATGTTTAACATCTCTCTTTTCTTTGAAAATCAAAGTTTACTAATTTGGTTTCCATACAAAAAACCTTTCTCTCGAGTTAAACTCATCTGCTGTACCTGGCACTCATAGTGCGTTACAACATCTCGATCAAACTGAGTCCTCAAGGCCCATCTGACCACTTCTAGATTTCCAATATCATTTCCTACAGAGTATCCAGCTCCTGATGCATCACCATCCTGAAAGATTACACTCATTGTCACCAAATTTCTAAAAAAGGAACCTTGAACCAACATCAAAGCAAAGGCAGGATGGAATGCTTTTTCAAAAAACAGCCATAGTGATACTTACTTTCCTTCCTCTAGCTTTGGCCACCAAATTTCTAAAGTTTAGTCTTGGCTTATTGTCAGTGGCCCACCCTGCTCTGCAACAGTGTCCCCCTAAAATTATCAAATGTGTATTAACAAAAAAAAAAAAAAAAAAA